CCCCACACTCCCCCCTCCCTAACACTCTCCCCCCTCCCAACACTTCCTCCCCAACACTCCCCCTCCTCCCTCCCCCTCCCCCACCCATCCCTCCCTTTCCCCACCTATCCCTTCCCCCCACCTTCCTCCTCAAACTCTCCCCCCCCCACACTCCTCCCCACACTCTCCCACACTCCTCCCCACATACACTCCCCTCTTCTCCCCACACTTCCGTTTCGACAGACCTACATGGTGTGTGTGTGTTTATCTTCCTCCCTTCCTCTTCCTCGACATCTTTCCTTCCTCTTCTCTTCTTCAACCCCAGACGTTGGTCTGAGTGATACCAGACAAATGTAGATGGATAGAGAGTACAGGAAAGATCAACCCCACCCACCACCAACCAACCAACCAACCAACCAACCAACCAACCACCAACCAACCACCAACCAACCAACCACCACCAACCAACCAACTCCACCACCAACCACCAACCAATCATCACCAACCACCACCACCAACCACCAACCAACCAACCACCACACCAACCAACCAACCAACCACCACCACCACCACCACCACCACCTCACCAATCAACCAACCACCACCCACCACCAACCAACCACCACCACCACCACCACCACCACCACCACCACCAACCACCAACCACCACCAATCAATCACCACCACCAATCAACCACCACCACCACCAACCACCAATTTCACCACAACCACCACCACCAACCAACCACCAAATCAACCACACCAACCTCACCACCAATCACCACCAACACCACACTCACCACCACCACCACCACCATCACCACCACCACCATCACCACCACCAATCACCACCACCACCTAACCATTCCACCACCACTACCACCACCCCACTCCACCACCATCTCACCACCACCACCACCATCACCACCACCACACCACCACCACCACCACCACCACCACCACCACCCCCACTTCCACACCACCCCACCTCCACCTCCCCACCACCACCATCATCACCACCACTACCACCACCACCACCATCATCACCAACCACCACCACCACTACTACCACCACCACCCCACCACCACCCCCACCACCACCACTCACCACACCACCACTACCACCACCACCACCACACACCACCACCATCACCACCACCACCACCACCTCTACTTCCACCCACCCCAACCCAACTCCCAACCAACCAACCATCAACCACCACCACCACCAACAACCACCCCACCCACCAACCACCACCACCAACCACCCCAACCCCACCACCACCAACCACCACCACCACCACCACCCACCAACCACACCCCACTCCAACCACCCCACCCAACTCAACCACCAACCATCACCACCACCACCACCACCACCCACCACCACCACACCACCCACCACCCACCACTTCACCACCACCACCCACCCCACCACCACCACCACCACCACCACCACCACCACCACTCACCACCACCACCACCACCACCACCACCACCACCACCACCACCACACCACCACCACTTACCACCACCACCACCTCACCACCCCCACCAAACCACCACCACCACCACCACCACCACCACACCACCACCACTCCACCCACCACCACCACATCATCACCACCACCACCACCACCACCACCACCATCACCACCACACCACCACCACCACCACCCACCACCACCACCACACCACCACACCACCACCACCACCACCATCTCACTTCCACCACCTCACCCATCCACCACCACCATCATCCCCACCACTACTACCACCACCACCATCACCACCACCACCACCACCACTACCACACCACCACCACCACCACCACCACCATCACCACTCACCACCACCACCTCACCCACCACCACCCACCACCACCACTACCACCTACCACCACCACTACCACCACCACCACCACCACCACCACCACTACTACCACTACCTCACAGGCCAAATTAGTACAGGAGGCGGTGGAGGAAGGTAGTAACTCACACCCACAGGCAGGAACAAGACACTGCCGGACGGACTCTACAGACGGACGCTTGACGTGCATTACCTCCTGTGTTTTACCTTACCTGCTGCTCTCTCTCTCTCTCTCGGCAGTAGGGCAACAGGTGATGGCGGCCCTGTTGTGTCACCACACGTGTTGCTCTGCAGCTGTAGACGTCGTGGTGTTGACTGTCGGAGGCTGAGGGAGCACTTATTCTACATCACCTGTGCTTAAGGTGGTCTGCCTAGATCACCTAACCACCTTGACTCACGGCGTCCACCTTCACCTGAGACCCGTTCAACACTGTCACTATCACATCTGGGGCCTTCACAACACTGTCACTATCACACCTGGGGCCTTCATAACATCAGGTCACTATCACACCTGGGGCCTTCATAACACTGTCACCATCACACCTGGGGCCTTCACAACACTACTATCACACCTGGGCCTCACAACACTGTCACCATCACACCTGAGGGCCTCATAACACTGTCACTATCACACCTGGGGGCCACATTCCAC